ACGCGCTCATCAGTTGCACACGCAGCTATGGCCTCTAGAAAATACTTCCGATACACTCGGCCGAAAGCTTCTTTGTCATTAAGTGATTTCACGAATAAAAGCGAACTATATCTCTTACTCCCTCCTTCGCAAAGCTTGCTAATATAATCGCGGGGTCGTCGAATGCGGCTCATATGCTCAGGAAAGAAGCACTCGACGTGGGCTCGATATACAATCAATGCCTCAATTGACACTCGGGAAATGGTTCTCGTGTAATCATCACGGTGCCGTAAATATCCGTGCTCTAACAATGTCTTGAGAGCAGCACGCGCCCTGGGCACTTGAAACCCCAGCCTATGTATGGCAACGATCAACATTGTCAGCACGGCATCAGATAACGTGGCATCTCGTTCCGGATGCGAGTTAAAAGGGTGACTCTTTTTGTCTTTAAAATTTTCACGCGATTCATAGAGCGTGAATTGTATGTAATGGGCGTCACACAACGGTTCATTCGAAACATTATTCACGCAAAAATAAGACGGTGCAGTAAGTGACGAAAGAAGCGAAAAAAAAAAAATAACCGGAACAGTGTGATTCCGTCCTTTGAGCCGCGGCTACACTATCAGTACATCATTCAAAATGTAATCTGCAAACTTTGTCCGAGGAGTGTTTCTTACATGCGCATATATGTGCACACACTCATGAAACACGCATGTATGCACATGTGCATGAAACAAACATGCATGTTCCATGCACATGCGTACATGCGCATGAAACAAACGAGCTCCGAAGACGCCTGACGCGTGACCGCAGATAAATCTGTGATCATGTCTGCGGAGAGACTCCGCGGGTCCTTTGAAGGATGTATGAGGAGCGTGACTGGAGCTTCAGGTGGTATTGACACGGGGAAGAAATCCGCGGAGACATCTGCGTGACGTCATGAGCAAGCGCAACTGCTTTCTGAGCTTCCTCGCCCACAAGGACAAAATGCCGAAAGATAAATGGCAATTTTAAAAAAAAAAACACTAATTAATCCAAAACATAGTCAATATTTATCAATGGCAGCATACAAACTTCTTGCAATGGTAATAAACGGACATCGACTGGCTACGAATTACGAATTTCACTCGCACGAGGAAACAAAATGTATTTAAACACATCTGCACGTGGATGAGAAGGTGAAGCGCTGCAGGACCCAGTGATCCTCGGTTCAATCCCCACCCCTGCCCGTTTCGATCTGGATGAGCATCGTACCGGCGTGCGGTCGTGGATCACTACTGCGTGGTGCACGTTAAAGACCCCAGCATAGCGGTTGTACTGCACTGGCTAAATTGCTCATCTACAGCTGGGAGACTCGTCGCCACTGTGAGGCAGACCAACTTCTAGGCTGTATAAACATACACACAACCCAATTTTTTTTTAGACGGTGGAATATTTAGGTGGGGGTATGCTTCTTGGAGAAGATCCGTTTTGAAAAAAATTTATTGTTCCTTCAATGCACGTGAAATAAAATGAATGAAATAAACTGTGCAGAGTTCTTAGGCACAATGGGAAATCCCCGGGATTCCCCCCCCCCCCCCCCCCCCCTGTTGTTCCGTGTGCACACCGCTGCTTTGAGACAGAGAAATATCTCGAAGCTAGCCACCCACAGGACTCAAAGGAATGCTCAGAAAATATTACCCTATCAACGCTATTCACAAATTTAGTCTTGGAAGAGAAGAAATCTGTTTCTGCCGTCATGCTTTTTGTTGTTCTTTTTATGATGCATGTGCAGTGTGGCCGTATCTTAAGACAGCGTACTCCGTGCAGCGGAGGAAATGAAAATGACGTAATTCCAGATAGGCTCGCGTTTCAAGCGACAGACTCTTTCGAGGCATCATAAGACACGGCAAAATGGCGTGAGCCTTCGAGAGAGATAAACGCTGGTCTCATAACGAGATATTTTTCAACGATAGGACGCAGAACAAACACGTGGGGCCACAGCAAGATGGCCGAATAAATGCGGTCGTTGCTTCCGCTCGTTTCATTAATTGCTGTCCGGCGAAATGACGGAGAAACGGCACCGTTCCTCATTGGACAAAAAGTGAGGGTGCGAACGAGCTAATGTAAATGGGGCATAATTAATTAAAAAAAAGAAAAACCAAGACCGCGGCTAGAAAACGACACCACATCCCTCTATCTTGCGGGAATGAGTGACCCAATTCGAGCATCTTATAATTTCTCAACGCAAGGGCGCTGAAAATTACTCTTACTGCTCAACTTTCGTTCATGACAAATATTCTCAGTGTGCACAGGCAATAGTGACGAGAGAAACTGGCAACGTGTTAAATGCGCGTGAAACGGATTTAAGAAGCTGGCTGTTTCTGTCGTCACTACTTCCTGTTGTCACAGTTGTTGGTGTGCTATGCTCACTGAAACGAACACTCTAGTAATATAGGCTGTGTGTTGGTTTTATTTTATATAAGATTCATGCAAGTATTGTGTGAGCTAATTGTAGACTTGCAACGGAGTTCACGTTGTTGTGCAGCCGACTGAACAAAGGCATGCCCTCTTACCACTGTATGCACTCTTATCAGATGCGCTCTTTCCGGGAGCATTCTTAACAGATATGGTAGGCACCTTTAACAGATGTGATATCGACAAGAAGCGCTGCATGAGGATGTACTTGAAGTAGTCCTCAAAGTAGGCTCTGAGTAATTGTGTGTTACTCCATGTGCCTGGAAGTTCAATTTCCTGATAGTTTTCAAAACAACTACTGTTGTTGACCTCCAGCAAGATCTCTCCAGTTTTGCCCTTGCTAATTAATCTATCAGAAGAGCAGCATTTGCCTCTCAAGCCAAATTTCGATTTAGTTTTTGTTTTTCAGGCAATGCCATATTTCACACTGCTGTTTCGCTGGATAAAGAAGGTACTTGGATTGTTTAAAAAATAATTGTAAATTAACTTGAAAACGGAATGTGCTTGAAGCAGTTTAGTTGAAGTGCGTTTCACGTCATGTGCATTTTTATTCATGTAACGTACAAAACACGATCAATAATTTGGTTCTAAACGTACTTTTATACTTAATTCATGCCAAGACCCAATATCTATTTAATCTAAACTTCTGTCGCAGTCATAGTTCCTTATTCCCTCGAGGTCAGTGCAAAGTAGCCCGACAATAAGGCGGTCTTGGCTATTTTCCTTAGAATATTTTACGCCTTGTACACCTACACTTAAAAAAAAATGTTATTAAGTCTACATTACCACATATGTGCAACTACTGCGGTCTACGAAGCAAGGTAGGCAATTTATTAGGTGGAAATACATTTAGGCAAATAAAAACAAAAACATACATCTGAGGTATGGTACTGAGCATAAGGTTCCACATGCTCACGTCTGGCTAGTGTCAGATCGGAAACTTCAACCCAAGGTCGCAATGTATTTTTTTTTGTGTTTTATGTTTCGTCGGTCTCCGAGCTCCTTTTGTAGGCATCAGTGATTAGCTCTATAAGCGCTTTGCAGGAAAGTAGACACACGGGAATTTTTTTAGTTTCCCTCCAAGCTTCTACGTGCCCCGAAAAAAAAAAAAAAAGAAATCGGGCTTCTAATATTTTTTTTTTGTCGAATCTTGAAAAGATGTTTTTTGGCAGCCTAAAATGGGAGTTTTTCCAGTCCGACATCCAACCAGAAATCGGAACCTAGTAGATTCGACTGCCTTCATATTTTTTTTTTAGACACTCAGATCTTACATCCTAGCTGGCAGTAAATAGGTCACTCCGCTCAGCGATTAAAACAGCAGACACCGCTCACCAGTAATAAGCAACTCTCAAGATATGAGAGCCAATGCCCCTGAAGCTTCAGGCGGACTTTTCCAAAGTTTTTTCCTTACAGATTCGAATATCTTTGTGTTTTAGTTTGTCGCATCTCATTACATCAAGATAGCTGGTGAAGTGTCAAATAGCCTCCCCCGTCGAAAGAGAAAAAAAAGAAGAAAACATTCACCAGTACTATGTAATCTGCCCGCTACGACAGTCGATAACTCTGAGGGACTATTTTTATCCTCGTTGAGAATCCTTCTCATTATATTAGACTACCTTCTGGGTTTAGTTAGTCGCACCCTGTCACATCGGGATAGCCGGTAAAGTGTCATGTTACGTCATTCATCGATAAGAAAAAAGAAAAAAGAAGAAAACACCAGTAATAACAAAATAGTAAGTTTCCCGCTGACAGTCAATGACTGTGCGTTTGTCCCCTTGTCATCCGATTGCCTTCGGTTTAGAACCATGTGTGACTAGGAGGCCTCCAGTGCAATCCTTACATTCCTAGGGATAGCCGGTAAAGTGTCTGTTACCTCATTCATCGATAAGAAAAAAAGAGAAAAGAAGAAAACACCAGTAATAAGAAAATAATAAGTTTCCCGCTGACAGTCAATGACTGTGCGTTTGTCCCCTTGTCATCCGATCGCCTCCGGTTTAGAACCATGTGTGACTAGGAGGCCTCCAGTGCAATCCTTACATTCCTAGGGATAGCCGGTAAAGTGTCTGTTACCTCATTCATCGATAAGAAAAAAAGAGAAAAGAAGAAAACACCAGTAATAACAAAATAGTAAGTTTCCCGCTGACAGTCAATGACTGTGCGTTTGTCCCCTTGTCATCCGATTGCCTTCGGTTTAGAACCATGTGTGACTAGGAGGCCTCCAGTGCAATCCTTACATTCCTAGGGATAGCCGGTAAAGTGTCTGTTACCTCATTCATCGATAAGAAAAAAAGAGAAAAGAAGAAAACACCAGTAATAAGAAAATAATAAGTTTCCCGCTGACAGTCAATGACTGTGCGTTTGCCCCCTAGTCATCCGATCGCCTCCGGTTTAGTATCGTGTGTGACTAGGAGGCCTCCAGTACAATCCTTACCCTCCTAAAGGATCCTTCTCACCAACTTCGACTACCATCAGGATTTATTTAGTCGCGCCTCGTTCCGTCAAGATAGCAGGTAAAGCGTCAGGTTACCCCACTCAGCAATCGAACAGACAAAAACAACCCTCACCAGTAATAGGCGACCTTGGCGCCATGACCAGCGATGACGTGCCGGTCGAGTGAGTTGTAGCACGCGTTGGTGACGCCGCCCAGCATCCAGCAGACCTTCACGGGTCCCGCCCTCGGGTCGAAGTTGTAACCCAGGAACCGATCCCTGGGCGGCGGAACCTTCCAGTCCAACTTGAGGGCCAGCCGTCCCCAGAAACCGGCAGGGTCTTCTACGGATTCCTGGTACATCTTCTGGTACTGGGCCATCGAGGACACGTGGTGCTGGAACGTCGCCGTACCACCCGCGACTCCTTGGTCGCCATCGGTGGAAAAAGAAGCTGGCTCGTGGCCGTTCATGGACGCTGACCGGTATGCTCTTCTGTCCACCTCTGCAGAACGGACCTCCTTGCGTCTTTGCTGCCAGCAGCTGATACACTGAAGTGTATGGTCGCGGTCCGGTTTCCCGCGCGCCTGATAACTAGACCGGGCGGCGAGAAGGTGTGTCGGTCCGGAGGAGTTCTATGCGAGGGAAGATCGGTGGAGGGTTTTGATAAAAGGAAACTGATGCCACGGACCCTCAGTGTTGCTTTTTGCTCGACGGGGGAAGGTAACGAGAGGAGGACAGCCGAACTTGAGAGCCGCGCTGTTGACCGTGCGCTGTTGTCGCTCCTTTAGGATGCAAGGAAAAAGATTACGCGTCGCAGTTTGAACTTCGGTGTTCCCGTATCAATCAAGATGAGAAATTCCGAGAGAGCGTTTCGATAAACTTTGCAGCGAAGCTGTTCTTATTGCGACAAGTAAAACAGAAAGTGAAAATCGTTTGATCGAATGTATGTTGTCGTATAAGTTCGTACGCAACATTCTTGTTTTTCTTTATTGTGTATTGGCGGCAGGGTATCGCGTTGACGAGTTTCCTGGGGTACTTTCCATACTGGATTAGTCGGTTTGTTTCTTGAAAACATGCTGTTGTCGTCAACAATGAGAGAAAAAAAAAAAAAGATATTTCCGGGTTTTGTATAACTACGCTTTTTTAAGAACTGAGATTCAGAACGTTTTCATGTGATCCTCTTCTTCGAAAAGGGCCAGCAAAGAAATAGACCTCCGCGATAGAAAAGGACTTCGTGAAGAAACCCGTCCAACTGCTTGGTTCAATAAAAACAGAATGCCAACGGACAAGAGAGCCGGGTCGTATCCTTGCAGTATTCAAATTTATCCCTATAGAATTTCTTACGATTCCGTTGCCGCATTCATATGTAGAGTGAACGCGTCAGCGTTCACATGATTCCATATTAGGTGCTATACAAGTACGACCTTTGCTTTGGTCAACGATCCAGTGCCTTTCATAGTTCCTCTTGAAAAAGTCCCTCCGGATAGTGTAGAAAGACATACTACCCTAAATGCCTCATCCGTGTGAAAAACGATTTTACCAGCCAAACGAAAGAGTTCTTTTTACGGGGAAGCTGTTTACGGCTTTAGGGTTCCACGAATTTTTCGTGTGCAGTCACTAAGAACTCTACGCTTTCACCGCCGCACGAGCCGCACGCCCGCACGCCTTTCCCGTAAAAAAATATTCAAAGTAAATAACCAAAATGAGGCGTTGACGAACGTGCGTGCAAGATGCCCGCTGTTTTAGGCTTTTGCTTAAAAGTGCCTTCTGACAACGAGCTTCCGACAATGACCATCTACGCGATCTATGCAGTGATGAGCGACAGTAGCTATACATATGCATAAACAATGTCAGATTAAAATAAGCTCGACCACGCCCTCTTTGCCCGTATTGTTTTCTTTAACAGTCCGAAATATCTGAAAAAGAAGCCCCCCCCCCCCCCCCCCCTTTTTTTTTTTTTCTTTTCCCGTTTTTCCTTTCCGACGCCACTTTTATAGTAGAACGCTCCTCGACCTCGAGTTGTGTCGGCTTCTGTGCTTTTTGCGAAGCGTTTCCTCCGTCCCGGAAAATAAACCTCCAGTACAACTACAAACTAAACTTACTATATGCGAGCGTCACTCGGGCGGCGTTCGATCGCATTAGGGGAGGTAGTTTGCCAGGTCGCTGCAAGGTTTTTATGAGCCTCAACCTCCTGCTCGCCCCTGGCCGTTTCGAACTGGATGAGTATCGTAAAACAGTGCGTTCGTGTGATCACTACTGCGTGATGCACGTTAAGGTGTATCCACACGACGGACCGGGCCGCGGACCGATTGATCACGTGATGCGCGGCCCGCGGGCCGCCCGGCTGCAATGAGCATCCACACGGCGGACCAAAAGAGCAGACGACAGAGTGAACGGGCCGGTCTAACCCTCGATCTCACAGCTCCGCCAAACGCATGCAACGAGCTGCTTTGAGGCTATTTGTAAGGAGCCAAGATGGAGGTTGAACGAAAGCGACTTTTGGCCGCGGTGGCCCTGGCGTTGACTATTGAGGACGAGGAGGACTTAAGTGAACCGAAAAGGGCAGGCATCTATTGTCCCAAAGAGCGGGGAATTGCTCCACGAGCGCGATGAAGTAAAAAGTTGCGTCGTCGCACCATGCCGCCATCGTCGAACAACAAAATTTTCCTCTTCGTCTTCAGCAGTTGGTGCCAGAAGAACACGACTTTCGATTTGGATTCTGATCCGAACAAGAAAAGTCAACTTGTTGCCAGACTTAGAGGTTCAATTATGCTAAAAACACCGCGGTCCGCCGCCAAGGTCCGGGCGAGAAAAGTCACTTGGCATTTTTCAGAAGCTCGGGCCGCGGACCGCCGGCGGACCTCAAAAAGCGGTGACGTAAGATCACGTGATGCGCGGCCCGCGGACCGAAACAGCGATTTGGTCCGTCGTGTGGATACACCTTTAATGACCCCTCCGGGTGATCTATGGTCACACGTCACTCTGCACTGGCAAATATTCCAGCACATCCGGGACAGTCGTTGCCTCATTTAATTGCCTGACCAACTTCGCGGAGTCTAAATATAACACCCTAACTTTCCTAAACCTGATTTCGTGAAAACCAGTGAGTCGTGAAAACGTTATTTAAAACTGAAACTGTGGAGGAACATGAAAACCGGACTTCGAACTTTGAAAACTTGGACTTGAAAAAAAAAAAAAAAATCAAAATCTTCGAAGCTTTTTTTTTTTTTTCGAATTTAGCAATAAAAGAAAATCAAAACCTTCGAACTTTTCGACCTTTATGTAGAAAGAAATTGGAAATCTCCGATTTTTCAAACTTTATGTCTATCAAAATTTGAAGCGTTCGAAGTTTTCAAATTTTATATCCAGAGGATATCGAAATCTTCGGATTTTCCGAACTTCAGATCCCAAGAAATTTTTATTTTTCGAATATCTCGAAATTTATGTTAGGAAAGTTCGAAATCTCCGAATTTATCAAACCTCAAGTAACACAAAATTCGAAATATTCGACCCCGAAATTTTATTAACCGTGAAAGCTTCGAACTTTTCAATATCGAAACTCCATTGCGATCGAAAGCCGCGAATTTTTCGAACTCGAAACTCGGTCGGTACAAAAATATCGAAAATTTTCGATTTCGAACTTCAGTTCGCTTCGAAAATATCGAAACCTTTCGAAATCGAACCTAGGGTGGTTCGCGACATCCCTACTTTGTATACTACCAATCTGAGAGTCTTACAACGAAGAAACCCGTCTCAGACAGTAGGGGGTTAGGGAACCGTTTTCGCACGTCCGATGCTGTACGATGAGCCCCCGGTACACACTGAGCATGCGCGAGTCTTCCGTTGTGGCGCATGCGCAGTGCGTACCGGAGGGACCGTCGTATACCATATGGGACGTGCAAAAACGGTTCCCTAAAACTCCCTCCTGTCTGCAGGCTGTTCTTTGTACGATGCGTGAGCTACGTGACTGCGGCGTTCTTGAAACCGCTTCAAATGATAATTTTTGTTGAAGCGAAGCGGCCCTGGAAACAGGATAGCCGAACTATCGCGAAGTGACATCAAGAACGAAACAATCAGCTAAGGCCTGGACCGTCGTCCCACATATATCTACTGCGTGTCGGAGTGCTCTTCATACAAATGACCCCATAACCCAATTAAAACGACAGGAGGACGATGAAGCGCAGATGTTAGCCACAAGTATAACGATATGGTTTATATAATACCCGTGTCACACGGGCAACTCGAATGCCATTTGCAACGAATGACATTCGTGTGATCGACGAATCAGCTCGCGATCTGTCGCGCGTGGAACGCCCCACGCTCGGAGTGTCGCGCGCTGATTGGCCGATCGTTCAAATGTCATTCGTTGTAAATGACATTCGAGTGGCCCGTGTGGCACGGGTATAAGCCTAAATGCGCAACAAAGTATATAAGTGCGACAGCAATATCTCTGCTCCGTGTAAACCAGGATGGCTGTTCCATACGCGATTCTGCAACTTTTGCGGTTAGCGAGCACCATTCAACAGTGCCACATGAAGCGTTATAGAGTCAACGACAACTTGAGTAACGCAGGGCGTGTCGAGGCCCCGAGAATCTCATTATATCGCTCCTTAGCCAATCAGATTGCGGCATTTGAGGATAAGAATGCCAAAGGACCAATCACGAGGCAAGAACTTCCAACGCAATAAGCCACGCCCTCGGGTTTGTTAAGCCGTCGGTGACCATAACGTATGTGTCCCAGGAACTACTCGGGAACTCGCAAATGTCGTGCCAATGTAGGACGACAACCCGAGCACGACAATTGCAATCATATGCTGATAAGAAAAAAAGAAGAAAAAAAATCTCGGCGGTCGTTGACCGGGTTTGTTGGATGTCTTTGGAGACTCGAAAGACTCGTTCCGGAGTTTTATTACACAGTGGTTTTGTTACAGTTTCCTATCAAATGTCCCCCCCCCCCTCTTCTCATGGCCTGCTTTGAGATTTTGTCCGCTAAGTATTATGTATACCATCTCACTTTGCACATATGCAAAGTGAGATGGTGTTCTCGGAGGAGAGGATATGGTGTTTTTGGTGTGGAAATTATCAAAGCAGACGCGAAGCCTGACCCTTCAAAAAAAAAAAAAAACTGTAATCAAACTTTTTCTTTTCCAGACAAAAAAAAAACAAAAAAACTTTTAGTGCAATATTAAGTTACGAAAATACATATGAGTTTAGCAAAGTGCTCCTATGTAGGGTCAAGGTCCCAAGCTAGATGCGCGTTTTTTAATCACTCGTAAAAGTGAACCTTTTGGTAGATATATCTACCTAATGAGAAAATATTAAAAAAGAAAAAAAAATTAATTATGTAAAACTGAAAACCCAACAATTTCCACGGGTGACTCTTTATGTCCTTGTCGTGGTCTTCCAAAGTGCCCGATGACACCTTTTTTTAAAGTGCCTGGTGTATTCCGAATCTTTCGGTGCTGGTTTTTATCAATGCTTCCCGCCTGACGCTTCTTCATCCAGAGATGCAGCTGCTTGGTAGCGTTCCAGCAGACCGGTTGACACAGCAAACACTTCTCATGCGCACCACACCTTGACAAACTGCTGCTTTCTCAGTTCA